GAGCTATGGAGACACTGGGTGAACTGGGGAGGTGTGTTGTGACCCCCCTGATTCAGCAGCCCCTCAGCCAAGCCTGGCCTGGTAGAGGGCAGCAGCTCGGCCCTGGCTGGTAGGTGCTGTGCCCTGGTGCCAGTTGCAGGAAGCAGATGAGAGGCTCTGGTTATGGTCATGTCCTGGTTTTGCTAGGATCAAGTTAATTTTCTTCTTAGTAGCTAGAATAGCTGTGTTTTAGTTTTAATGTTGGATTTGTTATGAGAGGAGTGTTGACAAAAGCACTTACGTTATTAGTTGCTGCTGGAGCCCAAGGCCACCGTGTTTGGCTGGTTCACAGCTGCATTAGGACTGGGAGGGAGAAGCGCGGTGAACAGCGAAACCCAAACCTGGCATTTGGATGTGCCAATGAGATATTCCAGATCATATCATGTCGTATCAGTATATTAACCAGGGTTGACCAGAAAACAGGGGGATTCTCTTGGGCTCTCACGCTTCCAGGATTGCGGTTTTGGTTTCAGGACTGTCTCTGCTCTAGGATCGCTGGCTGGGGACAGGCCAGGCACTGGACAGTGGGTGGTGAGCAACTGCACTGTGCATCACTTCTGTGATTACTGTTATTATTATTTTATTTCAATTAGTAAATTGTTTTTATCTTAACCCGTGAGTCTTCTTGCTTTTAGCCTTCCAACTCTCTCCCCTGCTCCTGGGGTGGGGGAGAGTGAGAGCGACTGGGTGTACTACGCCAAAGGAGTGAAACCACCTCAGGTGGAGGTGAACAAGAGGGATCATGGCTGGTGTCCCCCCTCTCCTCCCCTACACTGGCAGCATCCCCAGCACCACCTCCGTGGGTGGGAGGTCGGTGCCTCCCCATGAGGAGGGTGCAGCCTCTGCTGCTGCTCTTGCCTCCTCCCTCCACCCAGTGCTTGCTGTGCAAGTCCTGCCTCAGCAAGGGCATGGCCGCACACGTGCACGCTGGAACTCCTCAAAGGGGTACAACCCAGCCAAGCAAGGGCTGCCTCAGATCAAAACCCACCAGGCGAAATAATATCCGTGACACTCCAAGCTGTTTCAGGTTTTATTTTAGAATTTATAAAATTCCAGTGTCATCCATACTCATGAGCCTTTTTACATGTTTGCATATAGTCTCCAAATTCCAAAGTTAAGGCCAAGGGATAATTGCTATGGAAACGTACAATATGGAAGACATCAAAGAGGGGAAATGGACACATGCCAGTCTGCTGTGGAAGGAGGGTGGTGGGGGGGACAGTACTAGGTACAATCACTTCACGACCTTCTTTAGAGTGGAGGGTCGGGCTACGGGGCACGAACCCAGATGATTGTGCCCCAAATGTAACTCAAGCCTAGCTGTGCAACTGGTGAGGGCACGGGGGGGCATCAAGAGGAAGAGGGAGGTGACAGGCTTGGTGACATAGGACAGACCTAAACTACAGGGGTAATAACCATTTTCTGACAGATGCAGATGGGAGAGTGTCACCCTACTTCTGTCTGACCCGTCCTGTCTCCTGTGCTGGAGACAAGGCCACCCTGTCATCTGGGGCAGGCAGGTGCCCTGCAAGGGGCCATGGTCAGCTCCAGGCATTTCTCAAACTTAAGGAGAGCACTGCGAGGTTTTGGTTCAACTTCTGCATAGCAGCCGCTTCCAAGAAGAGCTGGCGCGGGAAGGAGAAGCATCGGCACATCAGGCCTGCCAGACAGAGGGAAAGGCAAGAATGCCGGGCTCAGCTCACCAGAGTTTTGGGCCTTTGCTCCGTAAGCAGCACTAGAGAAGAGAGGCTGGGGACTCCTGCTTGTCCAAGAGCCGAAGCAGCTGCGATAGAGGAATGGCTCAGACTACAACCTCTGTAGGACCGAGGCAGGGGAATGAGAGAACACAGAAACCCCACGCTCCCTCCACAAAGACGTGTTTTTCCTCTTATTGGCTGGAGGAGCTCGGACACAGCCCCCTTCAAGCAAGCCATGGCAGGACCTGGGCGCCAGCAGCCCAGAGCACAGAGCATGGATCACCCTCTACCACCCATACGATGGAGGCCTCGGGTAGGGCTCAATGCACCATCAGCCCTCCAGTGCCGTCAGAGCAGAAGCCTGGGTTGCAACCTCTGCAGCCGAGGCCGTGCCTACAGCCTTGGGGTCGAGCCCCGTTCTAGCTCAGCAAGCTGTCCTACAGTTCTCTCAGGTTCACAGCCTGCCTCATTGTCACCGCACTCAGCTTCCCTGCTTCTGCTCTGGGTGCCAGGGCAAGAGCTGGAACAGCTGCTTACCCACCTACAGTGAGAGGCCACCATTGTACTGACTTTTGAGGTAGAAAGAAGGCAATAGTAATAGGTGTCCCTACTGCTCACACCTAGATGCTGTGGTGCTAGCAGAGGACCACAGCTTCTCAAGGCTGTGCTTCCCCCCCATCTTCTCCTCGGCCATGCCACCGCAGCAACCTTGGTCAACCCAAATCTGTCCCATCTGATAATATTGTCACATGCTGGCTCACCTGCCTGCTCACGCTGCTGGCTGTTGGGAAGGGAGAACGAGGGAACATGAGGAACCAGGAGTGGGGTCTGCCATC